ATGCATACCTCATGCGCGTGATGAGATAGATGGGACTCCGGCTCCCGCAGCAGCAGGTCTTCAGGTGCCCGCTGCGCAAAGTCCGTGAAGTGATAGAAGATGCTAGGAGGAAGGATATGCTCCTCCGGGTCGTACCCCTCAGGGTCGAATGGCCGTATCCTCGGAGGCAACGGTATGATGTCGGGCTCGTCCTCTGCAAATGGAAAGCCTTCGCCATACGGAATATCGTCGGCCATCTGAAGAAATCTACAAAAGATGCAAAAACGAGTGAAATGAGCCAAAATCGCAAAAACTCAACAAAAGTCAACTCTCGGGAAGAGAAAAAGTCAACAAAAGTCAACGCCCGAGAAAATGTGCTAAACTTTGAGACAAACATACCTCAAGTGGTGAAAATGGAGAAAGAGGCTCCGAAAACAAATTCTAATCGGTGCAAATTGAAGAAAATTGATAATTTTCGCGAAACAACTTCGCGTGGGGCGTTAGAAAACGCGTATAAAGTGCAGATCTGAGAGAGAAAAGGGTCTAGGGAGCAAGAAGAATGTATTTCGGCCTTGGAGGTGTGATATAAACTGATTTGGAGTTGTGTACTTAAATAACCGAAGCTAAAAGACCAAACTACCCTGAATTTTTGTAAACTGGTCGGCCAGCTAGTTTTTCTGGTCGGCCGACCACTTTGTGATCAATAACTAGTTGGCCAACTTCCTAGGTGGTCGGCCATCCCTCCTGGGTGGTTTACAAGGTCCCTTTGTTCTCCCTATGTGTTTTGATAATGATTGGAGTCCTCGGCCCTCGATAAATTACAAGAAAAGTACACTTTTCGGCTCAAACATGTTCCCACGGGAACTTCAATTCAAGTCTTCGACACGTAGCTCATTGTTTACTCGTCAAGAGCAAGGTGTATCCTTTTTTAGTATGTTGTGACCCCTCCGAGAGGTAAATCGGGGGTTACGTTTGAATTACACTTTTCTTTTTCGGCATTTCCTTTCAGACACACATTTAAAGTTGCGCATCTCTTTCGCATTATCTTGCACTTTTCGCACACGTTGTCGCGCATGTTTCACCTGCATTGTTATGCACACCACTTGTGGCTTTGTTGCACACTCACTACTTGTGTTGGCACGCTCGTTTCGGCTGCATTGTTCTGCATCCATACTGCATTGTTATGCGTCACACTTAGGTTGCATTGTCATGCATCCCTCGACTCTCGTTATTACGCACTTTTCACTTGCATTGCTATGCATGTTTCTAACAATATTGTACGTGTTGAGTTTCTCTCTTTCGCAGGCACGATATTGTATGTACAGTTCATTTGAAGCTGGCACGACCAGACAAACCAGACAGGTATTGTATGTACATTGCGTGAGACGTAATGAGAATTGTATAATTCTCTTACATCTTTTCCACATGAAATGTAGTTTGGTTCATATTCGCTTGCTTAAACTGTTGCATTTATTTTGCATAATTGCTTCGTTATAGCTTTCTTTTCATGATCATAAGTTATGCTCGGCTTTGTGCATGTCACTTGCATCTTGCCCCTGCCGGCAGGCACATTTCTTTGTTATCTTGCATGTTTGTCTAAGTCTTCAACCTTGTCAAAAATGGGTCGTCTCTGGGCTTTGACATTCACTCCCGTCACTTGCAACTTTCGAGTTCTGTCAAAGAGGGGCAACTGTAGACACCCCATTTTTGACCGACCTTAAGACTCAGACGTCATCGATTGAGCGCTCGGTGATGGTGCATATTGTGCTCGTTCTGAGGTTTCGGAGTTTTGGCTGAGAGCGTTGCCTCTGGGCCTCGGAACTCTTTATGCTTTGGCTCGGTTTGCAAACCAAGTCTTGTTTTCCCTTCCCGAAGGGAGGGAGTGGTCTTGTAGACCATCTCTCTGTGGTCGTAGACTACTTTTTGTGGTCGTAGGCCACTTTTCCCGTTTGGAGACTAGTTTTCGATTTTTGGAGCCTTTGGCTGCACACGTTGTCTCGGGACCGCTTAACATTCTCCATTTGGCGTGGTTTTTGAACCACACCTTGTTGCCTCCGCCTAGAGGAACACTGTGGTCCGGGAGACCACTTTTGTGGTTGCATACCACTTTTGATACTTGTCAGCTAGTTTTCGGGGCTTTTGGCCGCGTGTTTCGCCTCCCGATTTCTCGTCTTGTATCCGCTTTGGTTTGTTTTTGGTACAAACCTTGCTTTCCTTGTTTGGAAGGTGGTACAAGGGTGGGAGACCAGTATTTCTCCTGGCCGACCACTTTTCTTTTTTCTAGCTAGTTTTCTTGTCAGATAACTGGCTTTCTTGGTCTTTTGACCATCTTTTCTGGTCGACCACCACACCACCACCTTGCATTTAGTGTGTTGACCTCTCCCACCTATGGCCGACCAGTTTTTGCTCTGGTTGACCGCCTAAAGTGGTCGGCCGACCACTTTTACTAGCAGACCAACCACTTCAAGTGCTCGGCTGCTTTTTGGCACCTTTTTGGAGATATTTTGGGACAGCTGGCACAGCTGGAGAGCATTTGAGCCATCCTCCATACACGTGTATAGAGGGATGGCATTCAAGCTTAGCTTCTCCAAGAAGCTTTGGCTTTCCTCTTCTATAAGAGGGAGGCTCCTCCTCCCTCCTCTAGGTTCAGAAAATTGCCATTAGAAGGATAGATATAGCATTGTCTCTATATTGCCTTGTTTCTCCATTTTTGTGCATCAAAAGTGTAGATTTTTCTTAGTTTAACACCCAGACACACACTCAAACACCTTCATTTTGCTACTGAGGTGCCAAGGGGTTGTTTTTGGTGTTCTTGGGTTGCCTTGAGCTTGAAAAACCTGCTGGAGTTGCAGTTATAAAGAGGGTCTTCGAGGGTGAGCTTTTGACCTTTAAATCCCCCTTTCTTTCTTAAGCTTTTAGCCTATCTTGCATGCTGTTTTAAGCTTATCTCATAACTGATAAAAGGTCTTTTTTCGCATGCTTAAAAAGTTTGTTTAAGATCACTTTTGTGTTTGGGGTTGTTTGCCCCCTCTTAGGCCTTGTTTTTTAGCCTTTTTTGTGAGCTTCGGGACCACGTTGTATTGGCCTTCTCACCATTGAAATCCAGAGGGATTTCGGTGGTGGAGATGGTGTTTTAAGGTCCTAAGAAGGGGAGGGCCATCCCCTCTCCTTGCATCTTCTTTACATGCCTTAATATGCCTCATGTTTGAGCACCTTTACTAAGCTTGTGTTAGCTTGTTCTTAGCATGTATTTGTGGTCATTTTGCTATGGCATACCACTATTTTTGCTTTCTTTGGTCACTTCATGCATGGCTAATGCACTTGCAGTGTAAATCACACAATCTAGTCTTGTATGCCTCATGTTTGAGCATGTGTTTCTAGCTTGTTTTGGGGCCATCTCAGTAGGTTTTTGGTGTTATTTTAACATGCCTTAGATCTGTTTTGGGTTGGTTTGGTTGGCTCTTGCATGCCTAATACACTTGTAGTGTAAATCACACACACTAGCTTTGTATGCTTCATGAAGTAGCATATATTTCTAGCCTATGTTGTGTCCATTTTGGGGCTTATTTTACCATGTCATACCTCTGTTTAGGTTTGGTTTGGTTAGCCTTTGCATGCTCCATACACTTGTAGTGTAGTTCCATGAAATAGCCTAACATGCATCATGTTGTGACATGTCATCCTAGCATGCTTTTGGCTTAACTTCATGAGGCTTTTGTCCATGTTTTAACATGCTTTAGCTCTGCTTTTGGTTGTCTTGGTCATGTATGGCTTACTTTGTATAGTTATAGTTCAATCTAGCTTGTTAGCTTTGTACACCAAGCCCACTAGCATGCTCTACTTGGCTTATTTGAATGATTTGGCATCACTTGTTATGTGATTTTAGTCCATGTTTCATGGCCATGCACTTGCATTTATCGCTCATTCAATGCGTTGGAGGGTTTGCCCCTTTATGCCTTAACATGAACCATTGCGTATGCCTTCATGCCTTTGCTTGCGAGCTCTCATTTTAGTGTTTATTTGGGGTTATTATGCCATGATATAACTCTGATTTTTGTTGCTTAAGTCATTCCATGCTTGGTCTTAATAGGTTTAGTGTAATCCACCTTATTTGCCTTGCATTCACCATGCTTCATGCCCTTCATACTAGCATATTTTGGCCTACTTCCATGCATATTTTAGACTCATTCTAATATGTACTAGGACTGTTTTGGGTCACCTTAGTCACATGCTTCATGTTTTGTATACTTGCAGTACAAATGCTCTTGCTTGCCTCAAGCTTTGAGCACCATTGCATGCTTCATTTGTGTTGTGTACATGATTTGACATCACTTAACATGACATTTCAGCACTTATAGCATGCTTATGTTCCCACTTCATTCATTCTTTAAATGCTTTTAAGGGTTATGCATTATGGCCTTGTTATGGCCTTAGCTTGCATGCTTGCATGCCTAGGCCTTCGAGCCCTCGTCTCAGCATGTTTTGGTCCTTGTTTTAACTTACTTAAGCTCTGTCCATGCTTAGTTCATGCATTTGTGCCATGGATTGCATGCCTCCTTTATGTTGCTCTTTGCTAGCTTTCATGCCTTAGGACCCTAGCATGCTTTACTTACATTGTTTGAATGATTTGGCATCATTTCTTGCTTCATTTCAGTGCACTTAGTGTTGTTACACTTCCACTTTTGTCACTCATCGAGCACTCTTGAGAGTTGTGCTCTTTGGCCTCTTTGATGGCCAATGCATTGTGCATGCATGCCTTGCTTTATGTGCCTTCATTTCATCACCAATGGCCACTGATTTGGGCATGACTGAGGTCTACCCCTTTTAGTTTAAGTCCATTGAACATGCCATGTATATTGCATTGAGTATGCCACATTGTTCATCGCATTATGTATGTCTTATACTTTGCATGGTGCATGCTTAGTTCACATCCTTGCGTTGTGCATGCTAACTGTTATTTGCATTAAGTATGCATGTCCCTAACATTGCTAAGTTGCCGTTAATGTTAACCATGGTAGTTTCATTCTTACTGTATGTGGTTTCCTCCGGTACATTTCACTTAGGAATAACAAACCACTCCAGGCCTCTGTCCGTGCTGTGACAAGTGGAACTCTTTGGGCTTTAAAAAGGGAAGATTTTCGAGGAATTCTTACGTCAGAATTTTCAAATTTATCATCATTGAAGTTGCTTCGATCAGTAGATCTGCTCTCGAGGTTGACAATCCTACAGCTGAGTCACATTGCAGAATCTCTTTCTGAAGTTTCCTTTTCTGAGGGGCAGATAATAGCTGATAGGGTAAATATTCTATTTCGAATTAAATGTCTTATTTTTTTTTTAATCTTCCTTCCCTTACATTTTGCCGTGTATGAAGGATGAGGCTTTCTTGGGATTGTACATTATCAAGAAGGGACAAGTTAGAATTACTGTTGATTACATTACGGAGAAGTAATTTGATTCTGACGATACAATTGCAGCAAATAAAAGCTCTTCTTCAGAGTGTTGGGACTTCTTTCTGCCCTGATTATTTAGACTGGTTTGGAAATGGTGCAACTGATTCACATTCCAGAAATGCTGATCAATTTGTTCTTTCAAAATTTTTACAAGCACATCCTGCTGATTTTTCTACCACTAAATTGCAGGTCAGGCCATACTTTTTGCAGATTTTTCTGAAGTATGAATTTACTTTTCCTACAATAGTTTCATAATCTGCTTAGATAATGTTATATCTGTTTCATAAACTGCTTGATCTTTATGGCTTTGAAATGTTATCTGTTATTTGGTTCGTTGGTTCTTGAAGTGATTGTCTGTTGAGTTATAACAATTTTATTGAGCTTATCAGACATTATTGTTTAATATTGCTTTTAAGATTTGATTGATGTCTAATATTTGCATTTGGTGTTTGTATATTTTGTGGTTGTCTTTGGGTATGATGCATCTAATATTGTAGAATTTGTTTCTGACTAAGAATTCTTCCTTTCCTGTAATATTAACCTTAATTTTTTGTTCAAGCCAGGAAATGATTCGTTTGATGAGAGAGAGGCGTTTTCCTGCTGCTTATTGGTTCTGTATCTAGTGACAACCTGTTCTTCAAAATGGTCATCCATGTCCACAGCGATTCAGCATTTCGACGCTATCAGAAAGAGATGAGGTCCTATTTAAACTTAAGCTTGTAATGTAGTGATTTATCTGGTACTTGATCGACGTATATTATGGTCTATGTTATTCCTTGTCATTTTTTTGTTATGCATGTTCCTTGAATTTTGTGATTGAAAAACCTTTGGTATGTTTCAGGAACAAACCAGGATTGTGGCCTCTATATCGAGGTAACTGTCTTTCTTTTTTATCTTGTTTTAGTTCTATTTAAAAGTTTAAATTTTACAACCCGAAGAATTTGTCCCTTCTGGATGGCCTAAAGGACATTTATTTACCCCCAACCACCTCAAAGGAAGATATTTAATGCTCAACCATAGCTGAATGTTGTCTGCCACATATTTCTCCATGTCCGTATGGCTAATTCTGTAATCAAATTACTTCTCCATAATGTGGTGAGACTTGACAGTGGAAATAGGGATTAGAAGATTCAAATCCCTTACACAGCTGTGGTAAAAAGATTTGGAACTGTTGAAAGTGACATTGACTATTAATGGTTTGGTACCATTCAATCAGCACTGATGATCAAGGCCCCTAATCTAAGTAATCACACACAAAAGATTAACGTGTACCAAAAAAAAATATAAATTTGCAGTTCACATAAATAAGGTGGCATAACATTTGTGCCTCCTTTCTGTTCTCTTTCCCAAGACATCAAGGGAAAGCATATTCATCCATTCTGCTACCCTACCTACCAGATATGATATGAATGAATACATCTGACGAGTTTTCCTTAAAAATAATAATAGAGATAAAACAAACTTCTCTCTAGTGGATGCATATTTGTGGACAGGGAGTGAGTTTAGGTACTACAGTGCAAAAGTGAAGTGGATGCATATTTGTGCACCAAAGGCTGAAGAGGGCTTGGGATTCAGAATTTTGAGAGAGTGGAATAAGGCCACTATGCTAAGACAACCTTTGTGGGCTTTAAGTAAGAAAGCTGATTCTTTATGGGTTAAGTGGGTCCATACTTGTGTAATTAAGGGTAAGTGTCTTCCTACTGAGGCATCTTGGACTGTCAGGATGTTTTTTGAACTAAGAGCTATGGGGCAGCCTTTGATCAATATATCATTGGTGATGGGACTGTTACATTTCCGCGATTTGATAATTGGCATCCCTTGGGTCCTTTGAATAAGAAATATGGGGAAAGGGTTGCTTTTCATATGGGCATGGCTGTGAATAGCAGAGTTTCCTCTTATCATTAATTTTGGGAATTGGAAGTGGCCTAGAGGTAGAAGAGTGGTTATTACTGAGATTAAAGCTAATACCCCTGCTAGCTTCGTATCGAATCCTAATAGGCCTGACTCAGTGTTTTGGCTACCCTCTAGTAATGGTGAATATACTGTGGCTTCAGCTTGGCAAGCAATTCAAATGGTATTCCCTATCGTCCCTTGACATAAATTGGCATGGTTTCCTCAAAATGTTGCTAAGTGGAGCTTTGTGCAATTGGTTGCTGTTCTGAGATTGAAGCTAATACCCTGCTAGCTTTGTATTGAATCCTAATAGGCCTGACTCCGTGTTTTGGCTACCCTCTAGTAATGGTGAATAGCTTGGCAAGCAATTCAAACACTATACCCTATCGTCCCTTGACATAAATTGGCATGGTTGCCTCAAAATGTTCCTAAGTGGAGCTTTGTGTAATGGGTTGCTGTTCAGAGAGGACTGGCTACAATGGATAGAATGTTTAAGAGGGGGATTGTTTCTAAAAACAAGTGTGTATTGTGCAATGGGTTTGATCGATCATTTATTTTTTTGTTAATATTTTTCAGCATATACTTGGACTGTTCTTTTGAGGAGAATTCTTGCTGGTAGAAGAATGCCTGACTTTTGCTGAAGAGTGTGGAGGTAAGGCTATTACAGATTATGTTTACAGGTTGACCCTTGTTGGTACTATGTATCATGTTTGGAAGGGAAAGGAGTCAAGAAGATAGAAATGGGTGATATTAGAGCTAATCTTAGCTCATTAAGGAATGTAAAATTTTGTCCTAGTGTTGGCAGTAGGACTATGCAAGTGCTTATAAAAATAAAAAATAACAAAGTGAAAAAAGGTAAGGAGCCTCACTTTGATACGGTAAGCTTCTGAAAGCTCCTCTTGGAGATTTAACTTCTCTCTAGTGCAAGCAGTTAACTTCTTTTTCAAGCTCTCAATCTCCTGCTCCAAGCCAGCTGTGGGGGGGGGGGGGATAAATTCACAATGCATTCTTATTTCCAATTTGAAAAGATAATGCCAACGCATACCTACCAAAAAAATATTAATGATAAAAACTTCATCTGATGGATTTGAAATAAATAATATACCTCTGAAAATGCATTCGAGTAGCCACAGCAAGGTAACCAGGACCAGCTTGCTGCATACACGGCTGTTCAATGTCTTTACGTAACTCATCACGCCAACCGGAGAGTGCTTTTTCAAGAAAAGAAGTGAATAAGGATTTGTATAATACTCCCAGGGGAGGAATTTTGAAAACACATTAAAGAGGAAAATCTCTTCAGAGAAATTTTCTTTTAGCAAAAAGCTAAGACTAGCTCTCTGACTCAAAGTTTAATGGAATCTAATTTTTGAGATGGGCCACCAAGTAAGGAGAGTAAGTAAACCCCAGAACTTCTCAGATGGGCCACCAACATCTTTGTTTAACACATTTCAATCATGCTGGAAGGTCAGTCACTACTACAACATATGACCACTCAAATTCGGAAAAATTCAAATCAAATTCTAACCAGCACTATAAATATAAACAATAATAATGAACATTCTCATCAATGTCCCCTCACAGAATGTTCCATGACCAAAATTCTATATAGGACATGTCCCATTACCAAGTATTAACCAGTCTTCATGTTTCCTCATAGAATTTTCTTTATGAAAAGGCAACTACATATTATTTCCAAAGTATTTGTTGGTAACAATTCAAAAAATCTCACTCCTACGTAACGATTTATTTTCTTATTCACTATTTAAACATTGTCATTACAATCCAAGGAAAGGAATTTTGGCTTACACAGAAGTAGTATAATCAGAAATGGAACTGTATACATAGCAAATAGGTATTTCATAAAATAAACATTAGAATATTTCCCTGGCCTAAAATATGAGGAATAAAAAAAGAATAAACAACTAAAGCTTAGATGCTTTTCATGAATGAAAAAAAATAAATAAATAACCCAAAAATAAAAATTCTATTACAATAAAATGAAAAACAAAAAAAACATATCATTTAAACATTTACCTTTCATGCCTTTCTTTTGCAGGCATCAACGCCCTGAGTGACCTGAGTGATTTCACGGCTGACTCAATCATATCCATCTCATACTCTACTTTCTCATTTGTCCAGCACTGCAAACAGTAGAACAAAGGTTGAGGAGCAGCATTAATTGATGTTACTTTCCAGTATTAAGACAACTTATTACCATTATAAATGATAAACAACTAAAACAAACAGCAATAGAACCCATCATCCAATTAGTTATTCCAGACACACCGACAAGGTGTCTTGTGCATAACTCCTTTCAGAAGCAAATGCTTGAGCATCACTGGCAAAGTAGGGCTTGACGGCTTCAATAAACACATCACACAACTGGAACTGCCACCATGAATATACTGCAGTAGCAGCATCAGAAAATTCATACGAGTCTAGTGATGTCACAGTTTTTGATATGGCCTTGTTCAACACGGAGAGAATCCACTGGCAGTTAAATGGCATGATATCTGGAACCACATTTGTTGGAGGGGTGTAATTATCTCCAAGTTTGAAAACACACAAAGCAAAATTGAAAAGTTCATGCCAGATCCAAATTCTTAAGAACAGTTTTAAAATCATAGAACTCTACACAGAGGTTACATTTAATGATGTACACAGTACATGAGTGTATCATATACAAAAAACATACATATGATGTTAACGGAGAGTACAATTCATGTCATGAACACTACTAGATATTCATGTTTCATGAAGACCCACACCCGAAATTCCCAGCACTATGCTACAGATTCTACCAGAGTACAAAATCCTGTGCATGCACACAGCACCTCAAGTGATGTTTTGTTAAGCAATAAAACTTGACTTAAACCCTTCACCACTTTCATCCACATTTCAGTTTAGCTATTAGTTTCAACTTGTCTTTGAAAAGAAAATAGAAATCAAGATATTATAGTCAGTAGTAAGTTCCACTAATGAGAATATATTAGATCCTTGAAAATATAGTTAGATTATGATCTTTATTTTTTGCTGCAACAGAGAAAGGTAACAACTATTTGAGAAATAATTGGTGAATTTCAAGATAAATGAGTAAAAGTAATTTATGGTCAACTTTACATAAACAATGTCAAAAGGCCAAAATAGCCATCAATTCCAATAGAAAGGAACCCAATTCAGAACTCACTTTGTCCTTGTCCACTTTTGATAAGTTCAGCTCCTCTTGAAAGGATTTATTCAACTTCAGTTCCTGTAGGAATGGAAAAGAGATCAGGCGAGAAATTTAAAACGACAAAATGTGATATTACTACTGGACATTGAAAGAGTAGGGAAGAACCTTGTAATTTTAGCTGAATATTTGCTAACTTGTCACGTTCTTTCTCAAGTTCTAAGCCGAAGTTATTTATTTCCGACTCATGAGCTGCCTGAATCGTTGCCAGAGACATGTTCTTCTCTTCTAACAAATATGCAAGCTCCTAGAAAGCATTCATATATGTGTTGTCAACTTCAATCATTACGGACAAAGAACAAAAATGAAACACTAACTAATCGACTTCAAGAGAGGACACATGAAAAAAAGAAAAAAACACAAGTTGCATCATAAACACAATGAAGTGATAACTTCTCAGGGAATGTGCTAATCCCAAAATTAAATTTTAATAAAAAATATTTAATCCATACAAAGGTTCCTAAAACTAAGAAATTTTAGCATGCTAGCCAAAAATCAATTTGGAAATTGTAACATCAGAATCCAATCTAAGACACAAAATAGGTGATACATATTCATTAACTATATCTCACTCAAAAAAAAATTCATTACTATGTTTTACTTCTAAAGGCCTAACCTAATGCAATCAACACCAAGCAATAGCGACTACAAAGGCAAGCCATCAGAAGTTGCAATCCCTGGAAAGAGAGAGGCTAAGAAATTAGAAAAAAAAATTGCTTTTTATTAATGCGTTCCAGATGAGATTGCAAGCTGTGTCCTTGATTGATTCCAAACCACAAACGAAAGCCACCAATTGGACATGGGTTGTTCTAAACATGAAATAAACACATAGTATGTTAATGCACAATATCATTGCAACAATTAAATTATAAGTTGACTTACTGGTGGAGTGAACCCAGGTAAATCCTGAGAGTGAGAAATTAAAAAATCACCAGCAGAAATGGAGCAAGATGTCTTCCCGCAGAGTTCATCAGTCTCACTGTAGATGTGGAATCCAAAATATGCAACATCAATCACCAATTTTCCTCCAGAGATTGCTTCACCTGAATGATAAACAACAAAAAATCTTGCCAAACTCAGAAAGAACAATCACACGGAAAATTTCCTCAAAGGACTGGGCATGTCTAAGTATGTTCACTCAATCATGAGGGGCACAAGGACTGCTCATTCAAAAGAAATTTCAAATATAACAACCAGATATCAGGAGTAGGTCCAAAGAAAAACCCACACAGAGAAATGAACAAACACGCAAGCAGTGAAGACTGAAGTGAGAAGTTCTTGGCAATTAAATTTTGCATATAGATAAAATGAAGTTGTAAATCTTTAACCCAGAAATTGAAAATAAGCACATATATCTATGTGAAATATAGAGTTTTGTACATGACAATAGAACTGTAAGAAGATACTGATAGTAAATAATTCACGTCTTAAGGTCCAAACAACAATTACATCAGTTACTATTTCTATTAAACACAAGGATTAAAATCTCATTTTGGTTAGCTAAAAAAAAAAAAAGCAATAAAATAAACAGTAAGACTAAGGAATGCGAACAAAATGACAACAGTGACCACGGATCCAATAAACTGGAACAGCTTGAGAAGTCTGAACATCAGCTGGAAATCTGCACTGAACTTCTTCCTACCCATGGACACAATCTGCAGTTGAAAGACACATCATTTGATAAATTATATTACAACCAGAAAAATATATATATAAATAAATGAATTAGAACCTTTTTTCTTTTTTTAAATCCAGAACAATTTAGATTAAGCAGATAAATCTTTAGAATTTGAGTACTACTAACCTTCAAGATGATCATTGCATCAACAATGACCAGCCAAGACAGAGCGTAGAACTGTAATTAAAGTAGCAAATTAGGTAGCAATTCTAATACTATCTGAAGCTTCTTTTTTCTTTTTTCTGTACATATATGTGCTTAAGATGCTGAAAACATTGCATGTTAAATGGATGAAAATTTTAAATGGCTAGTAGTAACAAGAACGAAATCTTAATTTTCTTTTTAAAAAAAATAAAGTTAATGAAAGCTTGATGCTTGGTTGGAATCACAAGGCTAAAAGTGAAACATTGAAAAAAGTTCTCTTTGTCATCATTTCTGTTACGAAAAAAGTTCTCTTACGAAATAGACTTAGTAAGGGAGTTCTCTTTCTAACCGTTTCTCACTCAACTTATAAACCAAACATGGAAAAAAGTTCTCTTTGTCATCATTTCTCAACAAATCACCCCATCCAAACAGAGTAAACAATATATCAATAGCAAATTAGCAACTGATTCAAGATAAAGGTAACATCTGACATACAGTACTGCACTTCAAAAAATTAAGTAGAGGACTCTCATCACTGTCTCTTCTATTAATCGCAGAATAATTATCAATGGATCAATGTAGAACGATGTTTTCATTTGAACAAACTTCAGTAACCAGTGCATGCTAATAAGAACTATTTGCAACCTCAAATTGAAATGAAGCTTAAGGGAGGAAAATTATGAAAAAGGTAGATCAGATCAGATTTGATCTCGATGTTTGAAAAATTCAACAAAAATAAGGTAAACAATTATCGTAGGCTAATTCCTTTTATCTGGATCCAAACAACGAAAAATGAGAATTCAAAAATCTATTCCACAATTTTCCCTAGCTTTTCTAAGTAAATAATCAACGCATCTATGAATAACTTTAAAAATTCCCACACTCATCCAAATATATATAAAGAAACAAATTACAAGCAACCCTACAAGCAAGACCGAATACAATAAAACTAACCTCCCCACTCTCATCGTCTTCGTCTTCGTCATCCTCATCGTTCACCTCCGACCTCAACTTGTCAGACTCTTCTTCATCAGCTGGACCCTTAACCTATACCAACCATTATTGCAAATAATCAAATAATAATTTCCTAAAACATCTAGGGATTGATTGAATAATAGTAAATTAATTGAATCATGAAGAATGTTATCATTTTCTTGTTATAAGCTTCAAGAGTTTTATTGTATTCGGTCTTCCTTTTCTCTGCCTTCGCAACGTAGGGAGCTTTCTCCTAATTTTTTCAAAACATAAAAATTGAACAACAATAACAAGTAAATATATTTGATTTCAGAGAATAAATCAAAATCAAATCATTATTTGGAATTGAATTACTCACAGCTTCTGACAAAGATTTCCATTTATCTCCTCCAGCCTTACCAACCTAATCCACATTCCAAAAACAATAAAAATTGACATCAAACTTGAACAAAATCCACAAATCAGAAATCTGAAAAACAAATGAGGTGAAAACACTCACGGCGGCTACGGATTTGTTGTTAGGATGCTTCTCTTTGTACATTTTCCTAAACTCCTCCCTAAAACATTTAAAAATATATTCATTGACGCAGAATATACAGATCTAACAACAATTTTCATGTGAGAGAAAGGAAAATAGATGATCACATGAAAAAAAAGAAAGCACTAGCAGGCCTCTTTGGCTTGTTAGGGTCCTTGGCAGCCTTCCCCTTCTTCGCCGCTGGCTTTTTACCAGCCTTCTCGCTCGGAGCACCTCTCTTCACCGAAAGCCTAACAACAAAAAAATCGATCTTGTTTCTAGCAATGTTGGAATGTGTTTAACGGAGATATCCTTAATTTCTTGTCGGAGTTTCATTCTAATGGATGCTTGGCTAAAGGAGTTAACAGTTCGTTTATAACATTGATTCCCAAGAAGGAGAACCCTAGTGGTATTGCAGATTATAGGCCAATCAGTCTCATTGGGTCTCTTTATAAGATTCTATCTAAAGTTCTTGCTAATAGGCTTAAGAAAGTTTTACCTATAATTATAGGTGAAGCTCAATCTGCCTTCATAAGTGGAAGAAACATTTTGGATGGGATGTTGATATCAAATGAGATAATTGATTGGTGGAAGAAAAGAGAGAAGAGTGGGATCATTCTTAAATTGGATTTCGAAAAGGCTTATGACACTATTAATTGGGATTGCCTTTTGGATTTAATGTCCAAGTTTGGTTTTCAAGTTAAATGGATTAGTTGGATGCAAGAGTGCATATCCTCAGTAAGGGTTTCAATCCTTGTTAATGGATCACCTACTGCAGATTTTAGTCTAGAGAAGTGTCTTAGACAAGGGGATCCATTGTTGCCTTTTCTCTTCAACATTGTGGTTGAAGGCCTGAATATGCTTTTCCAAAGAGCTAGATCTCGGGGTTTCCTCAAAGGAGCTGTAATTGGCCATAAGGAAATCAATGTTAGTCTTCAATTTGCAGATGATACAATAGTATTTTGTGAGGCAGATGGGCATAAGATTCAAACTATAAAAAGGATCTTGAGGTGCTTTGAAGTGATATCTGGGTTGAAGATTAACTTTCATAGAAGTCGTGTGTGTGGGGTTGGGGTCAATGAGGATGTTAGGGAGCTTTATGTAAAACAATTGAATTGCATGTGTCAAAAGCTACCTTTTATATATCTTGGGATACCACTGGGTGCAAGTCCAAGGAGGAGAAGTACTTGGTTGCCTGTAATTAACAAATTCAAAGAAAAATTAGATTCTTGGAAAAGGAAGCTTTTATCCTTTAGAGGCAGATTAACACCCGTTAAAGCAATGTTGACATCTTTACCTGTCTATTATCTTTCAGTTTTTAAAATGCCTGAGAGTGTAGTAAGATTACTTGACAGGACCTAGGCCAGATTCTTGTGGGGTGGCTCAAAGGTAAAAAAAGAAGTTGCATTTGGTAACATGGGAGAAGGTTACAAAGAGCAAAGACAGTGGGGGTTTGGGTATACGGAAATTAAGGATGGTCAATGATTGTTTGTTAGCTAAATGGTGGTGGAGGTATGGGTGTGAAGACAGGTCATTATGGAAGTCAATAATAATTATTGTTAGGTTTTTGTTATTGGCAATCCCGTTTGACAAATCTCCTTTCAGTTGTAATTTTATTTGATCTTTTTATTTCAGTGAGGCTATGAGTTTTTAGATCCAAATCCATCCCGAATTGTGCCTTGTAGAGAAATTTGTGATCTTAATCCTATCATGTTTGCCACTTCGCTGACTATGTTAGGGATTGAGCTTCCCAATCAGCTCGCAGGGGTCGAGGGGGCAGCGCCCCTTGGCTGGTTCAGGGTAGCGCCCGGGCGGGGTCGAGGGGCAGCGCCCCCAAAGCTAGAAGCAAAATTACAGTCTAAATTGTTTATCTGCTCGAGAGGCCATTCTTGCGCTCAAGCAGAGATCGAAGATCTGTTTTCTATAAATATATGGTTTTATCAGATTTTAGGGTTACAGCTTCCAGATCTTCTTCTTGGGAAACAACATTTCCATCTGCAGCTTCTTTTCTTGTTTCCTTTGATATGTGTGAAAGTTTAATCATGAATTGAGTGGATTATATCAAAAGGTTAGTTTAGTTTGTTTTATTCGAAAAGAGAGAGTTGTTCTTTGGTGGATTCCGGGAAATTTGGGCTTAAAGCTTTGGTGGATTTTGGAGTGGCTCATCGTCATGGATTCAACATCGGCATTGTGGATTCAACGTTGGGCAAGACAATTCCGAGGTGAAGACAGGGCTGGAAGAGGCACAGAGGGGTCGGTTCGATTCGGGCGTAGATTCGCTAGGTAATTGAGAGTACACTTGTGTAATTCCTTTATGTCTTCTTAGTGGATTGTTTTGTGGCTTTCGCCCGTGGTTTTTTATCACAACTGGAGGCGCTCTCATTGTGGTTTTCACCCTAAACACACAGGCGAACTTAATTCAATGGAGTCCATCCACTTTCTTCTCCCAAACATGGAGTACATCCCCTTTCTCCTCCCAAACATCATACATATACAATGTATTAAAACACAGTCATATTCAATGACAACCGATAAGTGATTAATTTCAATTCACCTAATCTGCATACAATGTCCTACAACAACCATTTCTTAGATTTACCATTTTATTTACTCTTTCCAAATAGCACAATACATGTGATCCGAAATATGATTTTCAAAATGAAACAAATGCCCTTAAAACATAACACAAGAATTTTCACAATCTATTTCCAAAACTTACAGTTTAAATTCTCAAAATCCATTGCATACTCCATGATATGCATGATTTATAAATAGTCCAGTTTGCCTAGTCAACATGCAATTTCTACAACAATCATATCTATCCTCCACCGATAGCCCAAAACAAATATCTTTAAACAGATAAATAAATTCCATTAAAGATACACTTTTCTGAAATCTCAAATGGGAGTGATAATACATATCTAACTCCACCATTGTCCTTAATCATCATTTCAATTTCACATTTCTTAACGTTTATTCCATTTCCACTTTACAATCTCAAAAATTACATTTTAGGGCATAACTCCATTCCTCTTTGAAAATTCATTTCAACGCAAGAAATAACTCATTTCAACAAATATCAACTCCAGTTTCATAATCACAACCTTTTTCAAGAAAACATTTAGAAACCCCTCTTTTACATTTTGATATGATAATCCAATAATTTCCCAAAAAGACCAACATTTCAAATTAGGACTTTTCACTTTTAAAACTCACATACATTCTTTATAAGTAGAAAATAAACTTTTGTAGCTAAATCATAACTCAACAATCCCATTTGGAACAAGCCCTAACTTACAAGCAAAGCATCAAAAATCAATCCAAGAACAATAGAATCTATATATTTAAAATACACCACAAATAAAATACCGAACTCATATTGAGTTTAAGAAATAGACCCTACCTCTTGAAGTAAGAAGGAAGCAAGTCAGAAAAATCACCAGTGACGAAACAACAATCCGTTGAGATTAAATGGGAGCCCTCGTCGTGCTCTACGTTTTGGTATATGGAACTAGGGGTCAGAGATGTATAGAAATAGATGAAATCAAGCCTACAAAGCTTACGAAACCAAAAATGGCAGACGGAGAGAGAGAGAGAGAGAGAGAGAGAAAGAGAGAGAGAGAGAGAGAGAGAAAGAGAAAAGTGAGAAATGAACAGATTTGATCCAAAAAGTGGTTTTTAAATATCTGATTCTACGTTGTACGCTCGAGCATCAAAAGTTGCGCTCGAGCGCACTGTACTGACAACATTGATTCGCAAATTTCAAACAGGCATATCTCTTTTGTCTGGACTCTGTTTAGGGTCGTTCTTGTGTCCAAATTGAAGCCCCGAAAGTAAACTTGGTTCTAGTCTCACATCAAGATTCAAAGTGTGGAGAGAGAAAAAGATGAAAGAGTGAAGACTACTCAATAAAAATTATTCAAATTTGGAGTTTTTGATTCAATCTCACCCAACCGCCACAGTAACACCTCAATCAAGGCTCAAATATTGACTAAGAAGGCTCCCAGTCAAGAAAATCAAAGAGTCAAATATAATTTCATTATAACAGGAAGTACATAGAGCTACATACTATGCTAGAGGTTGGATTGAGTGCGAGGTGGTGATCTGGTGTACAGGGGTGGAGGGTGTTCACGTGGTATCCTGATGCTGAGTATTATTTGCTGCCTTGTGTTCTGTTGTCAAGCTCTCTTGTGGTAAGGTTTGCTGCAGTGGTCTTGTGTTGTATGTCCTCTGTCAACATAGGAGTTTTTGTGTGTGCTTAGCTGTGTGTTCTACTGAATTGGTTTTGTTTTACTTTTATTTCGAGTGTGGTTCGTCTCTTTGTTGCGGTTGGTTACTCATCAACTTCTGATGGTGTGCTAGCAGATGTTAGGGCGGACTTATCGGTGCCAACCTAGTTGGGATTGGTTTGTTTCATTTTGATGCTCTGTGCATTCATCACTTTCTTTATTGATGTAATATTCTTTTGGTTCATCAATAAAATTTATCTTTTATTGATCCCCCCCAAAAAAAAAAAAAAAAAAAGCATACATTTTATTTATCTTTATACAAATGCTGCCATACAACTAAAATAATAATAATTAATTTCGGATGTAAATGTTGATAATAAAATACAATTTAAATATGTAACTAAAATGTTTAACATTAAATTAGATTTGTAAAGACAGAACTAAATCACAAGTTATCTTAATTCATATTCTCTAGTAGTTCCACACTTCTTGTTGCGATAACATAACTATTTTTTTATTTATTTTTAAAAAAAAAAAAAAAACTAAATCACAATAGCCAAACATGTTTTCTTTTGAAAACTAAAATGAAAATATAAACTAACAGACATTACAGTCACCTTAAATATGAAGTATAATTTTAATCCAGACAACTTATAAAATAATAAAAACAACCACACTCTTAACACAACCTATAAACTTTTACTTTTAGATTTCTATAAATAACAATATTTCAGCATTATCTTCCAGACCTTAATACAGGCTAAGAAAAACATTTACACATTATGCGTACATGTAGAAGCAAACAAACAAACCATACCCATGTGCCTATATTTGAAATTCTGTACTAAACAATTTAGTCAAAACGTAGAGTACATTGGATATCCTAATTATGAATATAGAGAATTTTACCGAACAGAAACTTCAAGAATAACAAATGCAAATTCAGATTATAACTATTAATAGGAAATATTGAAGCTAAACTTTTAAAATAAAAAATATATTACCATACTCAAAGTTTTATTAGAAAGCTTATCAATATTATGAGACTTTTGATTTTCCGAAAACAACATCACGAGTCATCAATTCCAAAACTAAACAGACAAAGGAAAAGGCATCACCTATCATACAACAGATTAAATAACACTTAACATTTATCCCCTCACCAATTTTATAAGCATGTCTTTCTAGAAATCAATATAGATTTATCAACGGAAAATGTTATTTACTAATATAATTTAATTAATAAAATGATTAAAAGATTTACGATAAATAAAATATGAAAGTAAGTAAATTAATATAGAGTAAGAAAGAATTGGCCTGTGAAATTGAGAGGCGTGTAGTCACTACCCTAAATTGTTATTCCTCCCCACGTGAAGGTACAACCAGAGTGCAATGGCTCCAAGATACAACCTGGTGCTCACAGCCTCCCTCATCCGATGTTTACATCCACCAGGAAGATATGAATGAGTCACAAAACCATAATTGCCCAGAAATATCAATATTCATATACATGTGTCTTTTTGTGTTTCTTGTGTGTGTCCTTCATTTATAGGAAACATAGGATTGTATGGGTGAAAATCTTCTACAAATTAACACATAACAATTAATCATAACATAATTATACAATAATAATATCTTTGTAACTGAAATGTTTAAAACCAATATTAATGTTAATAAAGTCAAAATTAAATAGAAACAATTAATTTTATTTTTATGAAAATTCCAACACTTTCCACACCAACCTATCCTGGACACAATGAGGAGCAGACTGGAGCAGATGAACGAGAGTAAAATGGTCATCAGTTTCCCAGGCATACAATTGTCTTCTGAAGGAAAACACCCACCCTTCTAAATTGGACCAATTAGCAAGCATATCACAAATAGAGGACACTTTTTCCTATGACGAGAAACAATCTAGGAAAGCTACTTTTAAGCATACATCCACAATCCATTTGTCATTCCAAAAAGAGCATCTCCTTCCATTGCCAAGTTCAATGCTAACATTAGAATGGAAGAAATCAAAGAAAGTAGAGTTAGAAAGCACCACTGCTAATTTGTCAGTCCACACTGAACCCCTGAACTGAGTATCGACCGATGGTAACCAAGAATTAGGTCCATAATTATATTTACGACAGAGAATGTCTTTCCATAGAGCCTTTTCCACACTCCCAAACCTCCACCACCACTTGGCAAGGAGACACAAGTTCACATCCCTAAGCTTCCTAATGCCTAAACCTCCCCATCTTCAAATCTCTTGTAACATAATAAAAAAAATTGACTTTTGTGGTGAAAGAGTTATGACATTTTGAGTTTATGTTATGAAATGTAATTGTGAAAGGCATACCACAGGCACCTTTTTAATGGTGCACATCATAGTATCTCCCAACATTATAACATTATTTTGATATGGAATTTTGTATAAATTCTCTATTTATGAATTATTTTCCAATTTTTTGTTAGTTCCATTTTAGGCTTAACAAATTTCTTACCTATATTGGTCACTCAAAATTTTTGATGGAGATGTAAGTTCGAAATATCTGATGGCATATTTTCCCAAGCTTGTCTATAGACCCCTCCCCCCTTGCCCTATTGGCTTACAAAAAAAAAAAAAATCTAAAACTTTGAATTAAAAGTCAAGATTTATTTGTCTAATGTCCTAAAAAAAAGGATACAACCTAAACCATAGATTTGAAACCAGAATAAATTCTTGTTCCATTTTTCAGTTTTAAAAGATTTTTCGTATTCCTCCTCACATTTATTTACAAACTCATGTCCAAATCCAAAGTCAAGTCAATCAAATTTGAATCCTTCCACAAAACTCATATAAAATATCCCAAACAAGGATAAGTGGTTATAAAAATTGAAAAATAGTTCACTAAAGTCATCCATGCAATTAATATGTTTTAAAAGATTTTTCATATTCCTTCGCAGATTTACAAATCTGTGGGGATAGTGGTTCGGAAATACTCTTTGGATCCTGTGGGACGCTTGTGATCCTCAGCTAGCCACCTGAGAAGGAATGAACACTCCGGTCGGGGGTGCCGGAAGTAGCACTCCGACGGATAAGGTAGTATATACTCTCTTGGTTGCTTGGGTTTTAAGTTAAGCCTACTAGTTCTCACATACCTCGCTTTCGTTGTTGCTCTTCTATTTATATACGCTCCCAGTCCTCAGGATGGGGCCCACTACTAATCTGTCGTGTGATTGCTCACTCGGCCCTTCTTTCGTCACATTCCAACTTCCAATCGGTCCCTCGTTCAACTAGCTTTGTGGTCAACTAAGATATTTGACATCCAGAACGTACAAGCCGGGGGCGAGTATAACATGTACCAATTATCTAAATGTGTACTCGGCCTATCTGCGTCCACTTTTATCCGACTCCCACAATTGCCCCCCAAACACCCCACTAGCACTAGTTAGTCAGCGTGTTTGGTTTCAAACTTGAAAAGTCAAAAATTCGACGGTTAACCTCATTCCAACATGTGTCAGAACGCACATGTTTTTTTGGTCATCATTACAGATTCCTGCCTCTTCGTACGCGTTCTCCATTTAATGTGATTTAAAACTTTGTCTCTTCAAATGTATACTCTGAATACTCAAAGTTTCTGGCTCGCCTTCTAGTTCAACTCCTTCACTTCGCGACCTCTGCAATTTCCTCCTATCTCTCATTGTACCTTCTGCTTCCTGTAAGTTTTCTTCTCCTTCATTCCCAACGCCATTTCCTTGTTTGCTTTCAGTTTTGCATAATCCTTAGGCTGGCCGTGATAGCAAAAACTTTGAAAGAGCTCATTTCTGCGGATCGAATATTCGGCTTCTGACGCCATTATTCCATCCCCGACGACGTCCATCAGTCACTTGTGGCAGACAACACCATTGATATGGAGAGGACCGATGAGAGTACAATCATCCTTCCTCTCCTATCGATTGCTGAAGGCGGAGTCCGTTTTCCCCTTCACCCATTTTTAAGAGTCGTCCTTCGACACTGGGGTCTAATTCCTTCCCAGCCTAACGTGAATTTTTTCTGCATCATAATGGGGATTACAGAGTTGAACCGTCGTCTTCAGATTAACTTAGGTATACTTGCAATTCGGCATTGTTATGCCTTGGCCAAGTCTACTGGCTGGCTGGGACGCTATTTTCTCAGGGCCAAAGATACCGAACATCACCTAGTGACTATGCTTGCTAGCTCTGGCAGGCGTGTTGACAACATGATGGTCGTTGTCCGAGGCAACTGCGAATTCGGCGAGGGTGAAGATCGCCTAGATCCCGTGCCAAGGTGAAAAGGCGAACCAGGTGGCCGTATAGCTCACTCTAGTTTCTCCGACTACCTTATTTGTGGTCGGCTTTGCTTCCATGTGTTTACCATTTTGTTTTTGCAGGTAACAATTTGAAGAAAGTGTTGGTCTCATCTGACGACGCTGTACTTGCAGACATTAAAGTCGCTCTACAGTTCGTTGGCCGTCCAAACTTGCAGAAACAAGGGAGGGTAGGCCATATTCTTTTGCGATACGCACCGTCTTACTCTGCGTTTTCGGCGGCGGAACACATTCCAATTTCTGAGTGGTGAAGATCATCTTACCGTCCTTATCCTCCCTAGCTTCAAAAACATAAAGGAGGTTGGTTAAGAAGTCTCTGAATCGAAACAAGAGGAAGAACAAACAGCCGATCCGATCGCTGAGAACTTGAACTTGTCGGAAGCCGAGATAGAAGAAGCACTTAATTCGGCTTTTGAGGAAGTCGGATTGAATTCGTCTAACTCGCCGCTTGCCTCAGGCCATGGGGACTTTTTCGAAAACATTTTTACAAACTTAGGGGACTTGCCCGGCTCTTATCCTGACAACATGGCCGGCAAGTTGCTCACCCAAATGGCCAAACAGAGGAACGCTGAGAGGATGGCCGCCCGAAGAAGGGCTGAAGCCGAGCGAAACCAACCTCCGCCCCCTTCACCTGACGCCAGGGAAGAAACTCCATCCGTTCTTGTTAAAGAGGTGGCTCAGAATGAAATGGCTGAAATGGAAACTGTTGTCGATCAATAGAAGGGTCAAGTGACGAAGTACAGGGGTGAAAAGCGCCCAGCCGATCACGACACCATTTATTCAGAAGATCCAGTGGACAAACGGCCACCCTTAGAAGAATCAGAATTGGTTGTGCCGTTCATAGTGCAACCAAAGATAAAAAACATGCCGGTTAGCTCTGATTCATCGGTTATAAGGAACCCGGTTGTGGCCTTGAGCCTAGGTTCCTCCATTTGTCTACCGACTGACAGAGCAACTTTTAGGGCGGAGGCCGATCTGCTGGCTATCGCGTTAGCTGCTCAATCGGCGATATTGGTATGTAGTCCTTTACAGCTTTGCAAGGCTAAAGAGGAGTTTCTATATTAGCTTACTGGTCATTTCTTTTGCAGGCGGCGGGGAGAATAGCCGAGATTGGATGTCGCCAACACGACGCAATCAAACAGATCGGCTTTCTTACAGCCGAATTAGAAAAGGAGAAGGGGAGAGCAGCTGAGGCCTCTCTCTGAGCCAAGTCTGAGGCCGCAAAGCAGCGGAAGAGAGAGCTAGGGCCGATGCAGCAGTAAATGAGGCCAGGAAGGATGGATCTAGGGGGGGCAGAGGGGGGCGGTCGCACCTCCAAAAATTTGAAAAATATCATATATTATATTAGAAATTTTAAAATAATTTAAAATTATAGGAGTTCGCACCCCCAAATTTTTTTAAGATAATTTCAAAATTATATAGAGTAGCCCCCCCAATTTTTTAAACTATCTATTTTAAATTTCATGTATATGTATTTTTTAAATTAGGTCAAGATGAAAGCAAAATTTTAGAAACTTTAATGGGTCAAAGTGTAAAATATGAAACTTTTACAAATATATAACCTATAAGGCTTGCTAGAGAAGCTTGTTCAAACAAAGCACTAAAATTAAAAAGAAAAAAGAAAACAATTGATCTGAGAGACTTGTTGCAATTCAAAAGAGAGAAGAGAAGCAAAGAGACGAGGAAAGAAACAGAGAAGTTTTGTTGTCGGACTTCGTCAGAGCTGGTCGGCATGGACGATGGAACCGTGGACTCTCACTGGTAAGTTATCTGATATCCCTTCAGCTTCAATGTGATTATTCTGTTTTTAGACTGAATATTATGATTGATTGTGATTTTAGACTGAATAATGCGATTATTTTGCCATTAATTTGTTATTGGTTGTTATTGGTCACCCATAAGCCTGCAGACAACTAGAAATCTTCAACCCAAGTTTTAGTTTTGGTATCCCAAACTTGACAACCCAAATCCCCAACTTCCTACGTCACATAACCCACAATTACACCCCACTGTCAATAGATTTCGCTCCTCTCTCCAAACACTTTTATTTTACTATGCCAATCAAAAAAATATATGCACATATACTCTTTCAACACACACATCAGAACCCACCACCTCTAACATTATCTGGGTTAGTAATTGATTTTGAAATTTTTTAAAAATAAATAATAATTTAATGACAATGTGAGGCCAATGCAAACTGGTTGTTTTTTTGGGTGAAATTGTGGCAGAGAGGCTGGCATAGGGTGGAAAAGCCAAGAATTGCGATGAATATCTGATAATTGTTATTGGTACAATTGTTAACTAAACATTGTGAATTTCTTTTTAATACTATGATTTATTGTAATTGGTAGGTATTGTGTTGTGTGATTTCTTGATAATTAAATAGGCTTTTAGGTTATGATTTGTTGATTTCCTTTAAGAATTTGGATAAAAATCTAAATGTTATTTTGTGCTGCCATATATTTTATGACTTTTAGGAATAAGATGGATGATGGTTTTCTGGCTAGATACTTGATTACGCACATTGAAAAAGACAATGCTCGAGGGTTTGATGTAGACTCTATCATTCATGCTTTTGATATTATAAAAGAGCATCGAGCTCAATTGAAGATGCCTAATTTTAGTAACTAAATGCATGTAGAAATAGTTACTACTTTTTGTAAGTGAATATGGGCAAAAAAATATTCTCAATTGTATGATCATCTTTTGGTACTCAACTATGTTGACAAGGAATATATAGTTCAATATTTTATCGTAACGTTATTGATTTTTTTTCATGTTAGTAGAAATTGGTATTGAACTTCAAATTTTATTGGTTAGAGGTTAAACGTACTTTGGCCCCTCCAAAGTCATAATCCTGGATCCGTCCCTGGCCAGGACTGTTGTCGTAATGAAAATGGCCGCTGAGGAAAAGGTGAAAGCGAATGAAGAGGCGCTCAGACTAGCCAACGAAATGATTGCAAAGCTGGAGGCCGACTTGGAAGAGTCTAGGCGGGCGAAGGCGAACGCGGAGTCTGCGCTTTCCGAGTCGTTCCAGGCTAGCAAGAATGCGGCTTTGGCGGACTACGTCGAAGAAGTGCCAAAAATTGAAAATAGGGGGTTCAAACACAGCTGGCTCAAGGCCTTGGCTGCCGCTAACGTGACATCGGAACAGCCGATTCCGTATGAGCAGGTAGACATTGAGCCGCTGGAGTCTGACCCTAAAGATACCGAAGACAATTTAATATTTTCCATTTTGCTTTGGGTATTAAGTGCATGTAGATTTTGCTGTATGTATTAGGTTTTTGTTTTTGATTCCTCATTTTTGTGAGAAGCTGATATAGGGTAGTTTTCATTTGTAAAATGAATTCTATTTGTGCTCAATTTACGAATGAAAATTATTTTTGCTATTTGCGCTCAGCTTATGACGAAAATTATTTTTGCCTTTTGTGCTCAATGAATGTGCTTCTTAGCAGCCAAGTAAGATGTAAAATCACGAAATGAATGAAACAAGCTGCCAAATTAAAAATAACTGTAAAATGCTACATCTTAGCCGAATATATTAGTGAATATGCCCTTGCCGCAGCAGGTTAATGAACCAGTTGGACTAATGAACCAAGACAGACTGAAAATGGCAATTCAGTAATTTGCTAAGGCATAATGGAAATTCGGCTGTGCTTTGATAGTTATGCCGAATGGATTGATTAATCTACCCTTGCCCTTGTAAGTTAATGAACCAAGACAGACTAAAAACTGTAGTTCAGCAATTTGTTGGGGCACAACGAAAATTCGGCTGAGCTCCGACAGTTATGCCGAATGGATTGATTAATCTGCCTTTGCCCCAGCAAGTCAATAAACCAAGACAGACTAAAAACAGCAGTTCAAGAATTTGCTGGGGCACAACAGAAACTCGGCTGAGCTCTGATAGTTATGCTGAATGGATTGATTAATCTACCCTTGCCCCAGCAAGTGAGTGAACTAAGACAGACTGAAAATGGCAGTTCAGTAATTTGCTGGGGCACAATGGAAATTCTGTTGAGCTCTGATAGTTATGCCGAATGGATTGATTAATCTGCCCTTGCCCCAACAAGTCAATGAACCATGATAGACTGAAAATGGCAGTTCAGGAATTTGCTGGGGCACAATGGAAATTCAGCTGAACTTAGATAGTTATGCCGAATAGATTGATGAATCTTCCCTCGCACCAGCCAACACTTGAACTAGGACACCAAAAACAGTTAGTTCGTGGCGTGAGGCTTTTGAAGTTTAGCATTAATAATATCGCCTTGAGAGTGCTGCCCCTGTAAGGAATAAATGGGGTGAGTGCTTCGTGCACGTAGGTCCTATTAATGTGTTCAGAGTTAACAACTCAGTCCAGTCCGTTAAGGAAGGTTAGGCAAGTGTGAATATCAAATAGACTGTTCTTCAACAGCAGAGGAGGGGGGAGGACATTGGCTGAGCTGGAAGGAGAAATGAATCGAAGTGGCGAACCTATGCGCATGGGAAGTAGGACTTCGAGGGAGCGG